AAAAAGTGGGGGGGGGTGGGCCCGGTTAAAGGGAGCCTGGCTGGGCTACCATACAAACCACACTTGATTTCTTACAATAAATTTCACTTGTCTCACCCCAATTTAAAACTAAAAAATATTTTAAAATTTAATTTAAAGAGTGCCCCTATTTTTTTTTTTAAATTTTCTTTTTTTTTTTTTTTGATGCCTGGGTTTATTGCTTAAAATAAATATGTGAGTGTAAACTTGTTATCTAGTGTTTGTATGCATTTTTTAAGTGAAAAAAAAGGGTTTTTCCCTTTAAAAAGGCGGTAGCCTGGAACCTAACCCCCCCGTATAATTTGGGCCCCTTTGTGCGAGGGGGGGCCCCTTGGGCTTCCACAGGCCCTGCTGAGCGTGTTGATAGGAGTGAATGGAACAAATGGTTTTTTTAAAACTTGACGTGCTGTTGGGGTGTGAGCAAAGTAACATTTAGGGAAAGGGGTTAGGGAAAAACCCGGAGGCCGGACTTGAGTCCTGGGGGATGGGAAAATACAGTCCTGCACCTGAAGGGGGGGTTTAATGTTGCTTTTAAAAAAATGTGGGGTAAAGCACCCTTCTGGCAAGACAGTGATGGAGTGAATGATGGTAATTTTTCTTTTTCGGGGCCCCCCCCTGCCTTGGTGGGAAACGGGCCCGGTTTTGATAATAAAAAAAAATAAATAAATATATTATATAAATTTTATTATATAAAATTTTATATTATATTATATATATATATATATATATATATATACAGTGGACCCCCGCATAACGATTATCTCCAAATGCGACCAATTATGTAAGTGTATTTTTTAAGTGCGTTTGTACGTGTATGTTTGGGGGTCTGAAATGGACTAATCTACTTCACAATATTTCCTATGGGAACAAATTCGGTCAGTACTGGCACCTGAACATACTTCTGGAGTGAAAAAATATCGTTAACCGGGGGTCCACTGTATATATATACAGGGGGCCCCCCGCATAACGATTACCTCCGAATGCAACCAATTATGTAAGTGTATTTATGTAAGTGCGTTTGTACGTGTATGTTTGGGGGTCTGAAAGGGGACTAATCTACTTCACAATATTTCTTATGGGAACAAATTCGGTCAGTACTGGCACCTGAACATACTTCTGGAGTGAAAAAATATCGTTAACCGGGGGTCCACTGTGTGTGTGTGTATATATATATATATTTTTATTTTATATATTTTAATATTTTTATATTATAAAATTATATTTCACACCGGCGATTCCCACCAAGGCAGGGTGGCCCGAAAAAGAAAAACTTTCACCATCATTCACTCCATCCTGTCTTGCCAGAAGGGTGCTTTACACTACATTTTTTAAACTGCAACATTAACACCCCTCCTTCAGAGTGCAGGCACTGTACTTCCCATCTCCAGGACTCAAGTCCGGCCTGCCGGTTTCCCTGAATCCCTTCATAAATGTTACTTTGCTCACACTCCAACAGCACGTCAAGTATTTAAAAACCATTTGTCTCCATTCACTCCTATCAAACCGCTCAAGCATGCCTGCTGGAAGTCCAAGCCCTCGCACACAAAACCTCCTTTACCCCTCCTCCAACCCCTTTCCCAGGCCGACCCCTACCCCGCCCTTCCTTCCACTACAGACTGATACACTCTTTAAGTCATTCTGTTTCGCTCCATTCTCTCTACATGTCCGAACCACCTCAACAACCTTCCTCAGCCCTCTGGACAACAGTTTTGGTAATCCCGCACCTCCTCCTAACTTCCAAACTACGAATTCTCTGCATTATATTCACACCACACATTGCCCTCAGACATGACATCTCCACTGCCCCCCACCTTCTCCTCGCTGCAACATTCATCACCACGCTTCACACCCTATAAGAGCGTTGGTTAAAACTATACTCTCTACATTCCCCCCTTTGCCTCCAAGACAAAGTTTCTTTGTCTCCACAGACTCCTAAGTGGGACCACTCACTCTTTTTTCCCTCATCAATTCTATGATTCACCTCATCTTTCATAGACCCATCCGCTGACACGTCCACTCCCAAATATCTGAATACGTTCACCTCCTCCATACTCTCTCCCTCCAATCTGATTTTTCAATCTTTCATTACCTAATCTTTTTGTTATCCCCATTAACCTTACTCTTCCTGTATTCACCTTTTAATTTTTTCTTTTGCACACCCTACCAAATTCATCCACCAATCTCTGCAACTTCTCTTTAGAATCTCCAAGAGCACAGCGGTTTATCAGCAAGAGCAGCTGTGACAACTCCCACTTTGTGTGTGATTCTTTATCCTTAACTCACGGGCCCCTTGCCAAGACCCTCGCATTTACTTCTTTTTACAACCCCATCTATAAATATATTAAACAACCACGGTGAATCACACATTTCCCTTTTCTAAGGCCTACTTTTAAATGGGAAAAAATTTCCCTCTTTCCTACATACTCTAACTTGAGCCCCACTATCCTCGTAAAAACTCTTCACTGCTTTTTAGTAACCTACCTCCTACACCATACACTTGCAACATTGCCACATTGCCCCCCCATCCACCCTGTCATACGCCTTTTCCAAATCCATAAATGCCACAAAGACCTCTTTAGCCCCTTTTCTAAATACTGTTCACTTATATGTTTCACTGTAAACACTGGTCCACACACCCCCCCACCTTTCCTAAAGCCTCCTTGTTCATCTGCTATCCTATTCCGTCTTACTCTTAATTCTTTCAATTTAACTCTACCATACACTTTACCAGGTACAAATCAACAGGGCTTATCCCCCTATAATTTTTTTCACTTCTTTTATCCCCTTTGCCTTTATACAAAGGAACTATGCATGCTCCTTTTGCCAATCCCTAGGTACCTTACCCTCTTCCATACATTTATTAAACAATTGCACCAACCACTTCCAAAACTATATCCCCACCCGCTTTTAACATTTCTATCTTTATCCCATCAATCCCGGCTGCCTTACCCCCTTTCATTTTACCTACTGCCTCACGAACTTCCCCCACACTCACAACTGGCTCTTCCTCACTCCTACAAGATGTTATTCCTCCTTGCCCTATACACGAAATCACAGCTTCCCTATCTTCATCAACATTTAACAATTCCTGCAAAATATTCCTTCCATCTTCCAATACCTCTAACTCTCCATTTAATAACTCTCCTCTCCTATTTTTAAACTGACAAATCCATTTGTTCTCTAGGCTTTCTTAACTTGTTAATCTCACTCCAAAACTTTTTCTTATTTTCAACAAAATTTGTTGATAACATCTCACCCACTCTCTCATTTGCTCTCTTTTTACATTGCTTCACCACTCTCTTAACCTCTCTCTTTTTTCTCCATTATGACTCTTCCCTCCTTGCATCACTTCTACTTTGTAAAAACTTCTCATATGCTAACTTTTTCTCCCTTACTACTCTCTTTACATCATCATTCCACCAATCGCTCCTCTTCCCTCCTGCACCCACTTTCCTGTAACCACAAACTTCTGCTGAACACTCTAACACTACATTTTTAAACTACCCCATACCTCTTCGACCCCATTGCCTATGCTCTCATTAGCCCATCTATCCTCCAATAGCTGTTTATATCTTACCCTAACTGCCTCCTCTTTTAGTTTATAAACCTTCACCTCTCTCTTCCCTGATGCTTCTATTCTCCTTGTATCCCATTCTACCTTTTACTCTCAGTGTAGCTACAACTAGAAAGTGATCTGATATATCTGTGGCCCCTCTATAAACATGTACATCCTGAAGTCTACTCAACAGTCTTTTATCTACCAATACATAATCCAACAAACTACTGTCATTTCGCCCTACATCATATCGTGTATACTTATTTATCCTCTTTTTCTTAAAATATGTATTACCTATAACTAAACCCCTTTCTATACAAAGTTCAATCAAAGGGCTCCCATTATCATTTACACCTGGCACCCCAAAACTTACCTACCACACCCTCTCTAAAAGTTTCTCCTACTTTAGCATTCAAGTCCCCTACCACAATTACTCTCTCACTTGGTTCAAAGGCTCCTATACATTCACTTAACATCTCCCAAAATCTCTCTCTCTCCTCTGCATTCCTCTCTTCTCCAGGTGCATACACGCTTATTATGACCCACTTCTCGCATCCAACCTTTACTTTAATCCACATAATTCTTGAATTTACACATTCATATTCTCTTTTCTCCTTCCATAACTGATCATTTAACATTACTGCTACCCCTTCCTTTGCTCTAACTCTCTCAGATACTCCAGATTTAATCCCATTTATTTCCCCCCACTGAAACTCTCCTACCCCCTTCAGCTTTGTTGAAGGGGGTAGGAGAGTTTCAGTGGGGGGAAATAAAATATATATATATATAACTATATCTATAAACTATATCTATAAACTATATCTATAAACTATATCTATAAACTATATCTATCTCTATCTATCTCTCTATCTCTATCTATCTCTATATCTCTATCTATATCTATCTCTATATCTATATCTATCTCTCTCTCTCTCTTGCCCTCTCCCTCCCTGTCATGCCTTCCCATGAACACACACTACTGCCACATCTCATGCAGCATGTTTGTCTATGTATATATAACAAACTATTTCTTGGTGTATGTCTGTAGTTTACTTTAATCCCTATTTTAGGGCTTACAGTATTCTTCTTCTTGCATAGAATTGAAAGTTCGGCAAATTTGAATTGTCTGCTGTATATGTTTGTTCCAATCTTGTCAGGTGTGAGAGGTCATTGTATGAGCAAAAGTGATCATTCTGTGATGGGAGTTTTGCCTTTTCCAGTAGTTATTTGAAATAATAATTTACAGTGCACTGTGTACATTTGGTGCATATGATCATGCTTTCTTGATAACTATGAAATATATTGTTATAGGCAACATCATTTTCTGACTAAGTCACACCTTTCCTAAATATCCAAAACTTTTGGGTGAGTGTGAGTTTTAGATATTTAAAAGAACATTAACTTTCATTATTTTAATTTTTTCCAGGTGGTACTAATGGGCCAATCATATTACAAGTGTTACCATCAAGTGCAGAAGAACAAGACTGTAATGAGACTCAGAGTCCACCAGCAGCAAAACGGCAGAAAGTTATGCAGTTGGTTACAAGAGTGGGTCAGGGAAGCTCAAGTCAGAATCAAGCTGTAGCTAAAGTATCAGGGCAGGTTTGTACAGTAAATTAGTTATGATACAATGAATCTTTCAACACATCAGCCGTATCCCACTGAGGTGGGGTAGCCCAAAAGGAAAAACGAAAGTTTCTCCTTTTACGTTTAGTAATATATACAGGAGAAGGGGTTACTAGCCCCTTGCTCCTGGCATTTTAGTTGCATCTTACAACACGCATGGCTTACGGAGGTAGAATTCTGATCCACTTCCCCATGGAATGAATGTTATACGAATGAATATTATATATGTTATACAATGAATATTATACAAAAAAACAAGTACTGAACCTGCATGGAATATGAAGAATAACATTAACTATTACCTGGAGAGAGGACCCATTAACTATTACCTGGAGAGAGTTCCGGGGGTCAACGCCCCCGCAGCCCGGTCTGTGACCAGGCAAAGTAGCTATTTTTTTGTTATCTGTTTAGTGACTCTGGAGATTATCTTCCCCACAGCCTTGTCTCAGACTATATTTCCTAAGATGGAAAAGAAATTTTACAGGATTTAAAAATATTAACAAATCCCATTTTTTTTTGAAGGGTCAGCAAGTGACAATTTTTTGTTGCATTTATAAATTTAGAAAAGGCATGTGATATGGTGGATAGGGAAGCAATGTACCAGATTTTTCAAGTATATGGAATATGTGATTACTTAACCCTTTCACTGTCGAAGCCCCTGATCATAAACTTGCTCTGTGTCGAAAAATTAAAAAAATTTTTTTTGTTTTTACCAAAATCTTAAAATATTTTTCTGATTATTTTAAAAGAAAAAAAGAATTTTGCGATTAGTACTTAACAAGATATAGAGGCATGACATTGACATCAGCGACTGCCACTCACTCGGTATATTATTTATATTCTTTTCTATTTTTTCTTTTCTTCTCTAATATTTTATTTTTCAAGTAACTTTTGTGGCCTGTGAGACCAATATAATGCATAATGTATATACAGTAGACCGTCATTTAGCACAGAAGTTACGTTCCTGAAAATGCCGTGTTAGGTAAAAATCATGTTAGATGAACTGAAGAACTTATGGGAAAAATAGGGTTATGTTCCTGGGAGCCCCCAAAAAGCCAAACAACTTTTTTTTTTTTTAGGCCTCTGCATCATAGAAAAATAAATGTGAATATGTAGTTGTAGTTCATTGTTGTAATGCATTATGTTGTTTTTACTGCTTAAGACTACAAATGTAACAAATAATACTTACCTTATATTGTGGGTGCTGGTGTGTGTGGACGATTGCGAAGAGAGTGGAGAGTTATGCTGTGGCCCTACTGGGCTGAGGTGGATAGTAGAGGTTCTGGTACTGAAGTCAATGGTTGTACTGATGTGTCTAACTTATTCAGTCAAGTCATTATCACTCAGTAAGTCAGGTCATTCAGTAAGTCTGTCAAGTCACTCAGGAAGTCAGTCAGTCACAAACTCATGTTTACCTTTTTGTGTACAATGTAACACTTCAGTACGGCTACAGGTTATCTCTTGTCTAATATCTTTGTTTCTTTGCTAATTCTAAGACTTAACCCTTTGAGGGTTTTGGTCGTACTAGTACGTTTTACGCGTAGGGGTTTTTGACGTACTAGTACTCATAAATTCTAGCGGCCTCAAATCTAGTGGGAGAAAGCTGGTAGGCCTTCATATGAAAGAATGGGTCTATGTGGTCAGTGTGCACAGTCTAAAAAAAATCCTGCAGCACACAGTGCATAATGAGAAAAAAAAAACTTTGACCATTTTTTTTTAATAAATCAGCGACTTTGCAGTGTATTTTCGTATGGTATTTATTGTTGTATTCTAGTTTTCTTGGTCTCATTTTGTAGAATGGAAGACATATTACAGAAATTGAGATGATTTTGACTGGTTTTACAATGAAAGTGCCTTGAAATGTGAGCTCAAAGTAGCAGAAATGTTCGATTTTTACCAAACTTCAAAGTAAACAAATCGTGCCAAGCGTGCAATACACATCAACTGGTGAGGTCTAATATTCTTTTACAAGTGCACCAATAATATTTATACCATTTTTTACACTAATGCAGTAGTCTGCATAACAGTAAATCTTATATTTTTTGTGAGAATAAAAATTCAAAGTGGAAAGCAAAAGAATATAAGAGGGCCCTTGAGACGTGACTAATGACTAGAGGAAATGTCATTTTAGTGCCAGGAATGTCTTTCTTGTTTATTCTGGACCCTATTCGGAAATTGGCATCTTTTGAAATTTGTGTGAAATTGTCAAAATTGCTAAATTCTGACCACTGTACTGGATAGTTGAATTTATAAATGGGTGGTTTCTTGCACCCATTCGATAGACAAAATGGAGTTCTAGCGAAATATTCATGTTTTTTGTCGACTAGTACAGTGAAATTGGCCGAAAAGGGGGCTCAAAGTGGGCAAAATCGCCGATGCGTAAACATCGCCGAGACCGGGCTAACTTTGCGAGAGCATATTTCTGTAAGTTTTCTATCAAATTTCAAACTTTTGGTGTCTTTATGATCGGGAAAAGATTCTCTATCTTTTCATAAGAGAAAATAATTTTTTTTTTTTTTTTAAATTTGGCCGACCCTGAGAACGAGTTTCGGAGAGGGCCTGTCGACCCTCAAAGGGTTAAGTGCTTATACCTCTTCGTGCCACTTTCAGCAACACTGGTATGGCTACTGGGTGTCATGATTGCTTGGCAGATACAAGATATAGTAATTAAAATATCATAACACAATTCACAAACACAGCTGCCTTGTAGCAGACAAAGACTGGACGCACATGAATTATGAACGCTGGGATGGTGGATTGGTGCTAGGAGTGGCTGAGGATGGCGGGAGGTCTCCCCAGCTGCTCCACAACAAGGCAGTCCCTTGAGCAAAAGTTTTTTTTTTCCTTCCCACAAACCGAACCATGTTAAATTAATTATACGAAGTGTTACATAAAACTGTGCCGCAATTCTTCAATTGTGCAATACCCAAATCGTGGCAAATAAACTCGTGCTAAATGACGGTCTGCTGTATATCCACTCACTGTATGCAACAACCACACAAACATTATCATTATATTGTTTACAAAACATGTTTACACAAACCCACACTGCCTTCCCAACCAACCACATTGTCTTCCCCACCACCCACATGGAAATAAGTCACGTAGGAAGAGTCCCAATTTGCTGGGGAGTGAGGTTTTCCTTACCACTAAGCATGGATGAACAAGGCGTACTGAATTAGCACTCCCACAATGCACTGCGAGCTCCCAGTTTTTTTTATACTGTGTACACTTACCACGCAGACCCATTCTCTCACATGTAGGTCTTCCAGCTTTCTCCCGCTAGAATTTTGGCATATTAATACATCACCAACACTGGCTTGTAAGCTGTGTCTATATGTTAACAGTGAAAGGGTTAACCCCCTCAGGGGTCCAGACCCCTGATCTGAGAATTAGTTTAAGCTGGGAGGTGACTTGGACCTGCCTCATATGGGCCAGTAGGCCTGTTGCAGTGTTCCTTCTTTCTTATGTTCTTATAATTAAAAAAAAATCTAATGATAGAGAATCTTTTTCCAAAGGTAATGAAACCAGAAGTACGAAATTTGATGGAAAAACTTACGGAATTATGCTCTTGCAAGTTTAGTGATCATGGTGATATTTATGCACTGGCGATTTATACCAACAGCTGGTGTCCCACAAGGTTCTTGTCTTAGTTTAATTCTATTCAACATTTATGTGAATGATCTTCCTCAACCAGAGTTTAATGATACAATTATAACGCAATTTGCAGATGATGATATCCATGTCATCTCGTCAACTCCTGTAACTGGAAAATACAAATATGAAAGTCATAGAAAAAATTAATATTGAACTTCGTCGATCATCCAATTGGGAAGAGAAATGGAGAAATACGACTAACCCTGACAAAGTCCTGGTTAGCACGATAGGATGTTTTGCATTAACCATCGAAGATACGGGGGTTATCTCCATCAGAGGTACACCTGTAGCCATTAGAAATCCTAACAAGATCTTGGGATATGAAATAGACAGGCTGCTCCACTCAACATCTCACGTCAATAAAAAGATCAACATAGCCAAAGCCGGTCTTAGCAGTCTCTTTAGATTTAATCAAGCCCCTTCACATGTCAAAAAACATCTATATAAAATGATAAGACCAATACTCGAATACCCATGTGTCCCAATGTCGTTAACAACAAAGACCAACATGTTAAAGTTGCAACGGGTCCAGAATAAAGCTCTCCGCCTTATTATGGGTACCAGGAGGAGAGACAGAGTCAAAATGGCAGATTTACATGTAGAACAGGATATTACTGCCTTAACCCTTTCAGGGTCCGTCCCGTAGATCTACGGCTTTACGTTCAGGGTCCAAACCGTAGATCTACGCCATGAGCTCAGCTCACTCTGATAAACTGTGAGTGGTACATTTGGGCCTAGATATGAGAGAATACATCTATGTGGTATGTGTGCACCACATAAAACAGATCCTGCAGCACACTGTGTATAATGAGAAAAAAACTGAAATCATGATTTTTTGATTAAAACAGCAACTTTGCAGTGTTTTTTCGTATGTTTTTTATAGTTGTATTTGCGATTTCTTGGTCTCATTTGATAGAATGGAAGACATATTACAGAAATAGAGATGATTTTGATTGGTTTTAGCACTGGAAATGGCTTGAAACTGAGCTCAAAGTAGCGGAAATGTTAAATTTTTTTTCCCATATTCAAGAGTAAACAAACGACCTCACACGTCTAATACACGTCAGCTGGTGGGTCTAATATACATTCACAAATATGGTGATGATATTTATACAAATTATTACAGTATTGCATAGCAGTAAATCTTCTATTTTTTGGTGTGAATAAAAATTCATTATGTGAATAAAAAATCAAAATGGAATTTATTTGTAAAGCCTCAAACATGAACTAATGAACAGAGGAAATGTTAGTTTAGTGCCAGGAATGCCTACATTGTTTATTCTGGACCCTATTTTGAAATTGGAATATTTTGAACTTTG